AATAAAAACAAAAGAGAAACAAAAAAGAATACCCCCACCCACCCAGCGGGGCCTGGCCAGGGGCCTAGATATGTCACCCCCCCCCCCCACCCCAGCAGGGCTTGACGGGGGACCTGAGGCTGCACCCCCTGCCCGGAGGGGCTTGACAGGGGTGGGGCTGACCGGGTCTGGGACTCGCACGATTTCGAGGCACGCGCGGGTGGGCAGGGACTTGACTCTGGGTCCTGCGGCGCACCCCAGACTCTGACAGGAGGGAGATTTTCATATACATTTTACTAATTTTCTTTCATCTCTGACACTTCTATTATAGAAAAAGAGCAAATAGCAATATTAAAATATTTCCTCTAATTAATTCCCTTTTAATGTGCACAAATTTCGTGCTCCAGGCCACTCATAATATATATAAATTAGTGATCTTAGTGTAAAAGTCCACGAATTTCATGCACTGGGGGTGGGTCCCTCAGCCCGGCCTGCGCCCTCTCACAGTCTGGGACCCCTCGGGAATGTCTGTCCAAGCCGGCAGTCAGACATCCCTCTTGCAGTCCAGGACCCCTCGCTCCTTACTGCCCGCCTCCTTGCTGCTCCTTACCGCTTGGCTCATTGCTCCTTAGCACTGCCGCAGAAGCGGTAGAGGCTCCCGCCACCGTAGCTGCGCTTACCAACCATGAGCCTGGCTTCTGCGTGGGCAGTGCTCCCCCTGTGGGAGCACACTGACCACCAGGGGGCACCTCCTGCGTTGAGCATCTGCCCCCTGGCAGTCAGTGCATGTCATAGCAACTGGTCGTTCTGCCATTCGGTCAATCTGCATATTAGACTTTTATTATATCAGATATACAGTCTCCCAAAAATACATTTCTTAATAGAATTGAAATTAAATATTTTTATCATGGTTGATATGCAAATACCATAATTTTCATATACCAGTCTTCCTGATTTTCTGGCATCCTCATGAAAATGACTGGGAAGTAGCAGCCAGAAATCTCTCTAACACTCACACACTCTACTACTGCATCATCAGGTTTCTGGTTGGCCTTGCATGTGACCGTGCTATTTCATCATTTTGGAGAATGAAATGCAAAAGAAAACATGATTCACAGATTGTTACTAAGTTTGTGTGCTGGTTATTTATGATTTGGGTATTATTTAATTTGTGTAGAATTTTTCTGGCTCAAGATACCAGTCCTCTTTCTGCTGTTAAACTCAGTGTTGATCAGTCTTTCTGCATTCTGTCCAAGCTGGATCCTCCAGATAGCCACTGCCTCTTCCTCAAGGGAGCAACGGTGGCTTTCCTTAACGACGAAGTTTGGAATTTGTCAAATGTACAACAAGGGAAATATCTTTATATCCTTTTTTTCTACTGACTTGAGTTTCTGGCTTGACATTTACCTTGCATTATCATAATTAAGTTCTTTAATAATGGTAATAATAAATAATAGCTAACTTTCATTGATCATGCCAAACAATGTTCCACAGGCTGTGTAGGTATTAATTTACTTAAATATTGAAACCACCCTCTGAGGTGTAATAGTATTATCATTCCTAGTTCACAGGTGAAGGAACTGAATTGTAGAAAAGTTAATTAATACAAGCCCAGGGATTCAGCTAGCAAGCGGCCGGACCGGAATCGTACCCAGGCAGTCTCGCGTGTTTCTGAATGGGAGATGAGCCGTAGTTCCATGGAACAGTTTGTTTTGGTTTGGCCCTGGCATTATGGAAATTCCACATCACCTTGAGAGCTGGCATTCTTACACCTACGGTGGTTCCACTGTGCAGAACGTTTCAGAACACATATCTCAGTTAAAGAGTTTGTGGGGTGTTTTTAAGATTACCAATGCTAGGAAATCTTCATCAACTGAGGATGTTTGATTTTTTTAAATGGAAGTTACTCGGAGACAAATCTGGTAAAGGAAGCCAAATCATTCTAGTTTGAGTAAAAGTAATGAAAAGTTTTCATGAGAATCTGAAAGCTGTTCCAAAAGAAAGGTCCAGACCTCTTTAGAGCAAGGTGAGCTTACAGACAAACCCCTTACTTCTCAGATGGCTGTCCTAAAGGCAGCTGCACTTGGTAAAATTTTTAAGAAATTGGGTAAAAAATAAGTTCTCGTAACTTAATAGTGTCCTTGTGCGTGAAGAAAGAGCCCCTGCTGGCCTCCACCGGCTCTGCCGTGGCGTTGGGAGTGTAGTTCCATGAGTGATGTGTGCGAAGGGCAGCCCCCCAGCCCAGTGATGGCGAACCTTCTGAGCTCGGCGCGTCAGCATTTTGGAAAACCCTAACTTAACTCTGGTGCCGTGTCACATATAGAAATTTTTTGATCTTTGCAACCATAGTAAAACAAAGACTTATATTTTTGATATTTATTTTATATATTTAAATGCCATTTAACAAAGAAAAATCAACCAAAAAAATGAATTCGCGTGTCACCTCTGGCACACGTGTCATAGGTTCGCCCTCACTGGTCTAGGAGCAAGTCCGAGGGTGCAGAGCCTTCAGTTAGGGTTTCCTTAGTGTGTGCGCAGTTGAGTTTTAAAGAGCACATTTCAAAACCAGAAAAGCCCCTTAATGTAGCGAGTGAATGAGATTAAACTATTTCTGATTCAATATTTTCCTATTAAATTTAGAAAATAAACTAAATCTTTAACTTTCTAGAAGAATTTTGTTTGAATTTCAATTTAAAGCAACTTAAATGTCCAATGACATTATAGTAATCAAGAATACCATTACATATTAACAACAGAGGAACAACATGTATTAAAAGCAATAGCATATTTTGAATTTTACATGTCATAATACAGGATGGCTGCTTAGTCTGTTAATTCTCTCAGCTGCCTGCCCTTCCCCTCCAACATGATTTTAACCTATTTAACAAACCCATGGACCATGTTGACACATAACACGTTTAAATGAAATGATGTTAAATTTTCAAAAATCAAAAATACACGACCCCAATACTCTCTCTTATGCATACTGTTGGCAATTTCATGAACAGATGTAGAAAGAGAATTTATAGTATAAATAAGTAAATCCATATTCTTTAGGTCCTTTAAAAAAATCTTTAAAATGTCTTATGTTCATATTTTTTAATTTACATTTTCTCAAGTCCTGAATCAGACTTTAGTCTCACTTATGCAAGCCTCTCCCAGGTGCTGCTGCCTGTGATTTAACATAGAGCTCTCCTTCCAATTATGATCATAAATAGTTCTCCAGTGCTAGCAATTCCATAGACTCTCAATTCTAGTATTCGAATTTCAATTAAATGACTAGATTCCTTAAAATGTTAGTTTTCTGACTCTCTTAGTTGCGTATGTCACACAAACAGTTTATTAACTTTCGTGCACACAAATTTGGAGTCTATAGCCATTTTGTAAATAAATGTGCACCCACAGTAAGTGGTGTTTTTAATAAAGTCACATAAGTGGTGCTAAAGTGAAACCCTGACACCATTCCATTACCGTCTCTTTGGAAAACACCTAGTCATTCCTTAGGACAGGCAGTGGGCTTGCTTCTGTCAGCACTTGTTTTTAGGAGTTTAGGCTCTATTACGTTACCACCGCTCTCATATTTCCCATCCCCCCCCTTTTTTTAGAGAAATTTGACAGCTTACAGAATTTCTGTAACAATTTCTTAATTTTGAGAGTACGAAAATTAAAAAAAAAAAAGTGAACTGCCTAGCATCTTCGGCTGATTGAATGCTTTTCTTTAAACTTCTGTCTTTCACATTGCCACCTTAACTATTCTGCCAGCTACGTGTCTTAAAAGATGTGATGGAGAAGTTAGCAACTGGTGTTTTTAGGTACGCTGAATTACCAATCATTGTTGTTCTTTATTTTTCTGTTCTCAAGGGGATAAGGCTGGCATTTTTGTTTCAGCTTTCACAGCACACCTATTGCCTCCATATTTTAGTATTTTGTTTAAATAGCTGCTCCTTAACATTTCTCTAACATTTTTTTTATTGATTTCAGAGAGGAAGGGAGAGGGAAAGAGAGATAGAAACATCAATGATGAGAAAGAATCATTGATCTGCTGCCTCCCGAACGCCCCCCACTGGGGATGAGCCCGCAACCGGGCACGTGCCTTGACTGGAATCGAACCTGGGACCCTTCAGTCCGCAGGCCCACGCTCTGTCCACTGAGCCAAGCCCGCAAGGGCGTTAGCATTTCTCCGGGTGACACACCAGGAAGTGTCCCTGAGTTTCCCTCACTCCGTTCCGCACCCACCTCATCGCCCCTCCCAAAGCAACCTGAAATACAGCTTGAGAAGAGGGAAAAGTTAAAGTTTTTTATCTATTTATCAAAAAGAGGGAGCTGATTTCCGCTTTAAAATGCAACCACTTGTGTCCGGCTGGAAGCTGGCCGTCATCCTGGGCACCCGAGGCCGCGGGCCCCCCCCCCCCCCAGCACGTGCCCAGGATCAGGGCGAGACACCTCCCGGGGCTGCAGGAGGCAGCCACCCGCTCCTCGCTCACATCAGTGTTTCTAAGTCAATAAAAACATATTTTAAAAAAATTAACGACTTTTGATGGTGGACACACTAGTGGACAAGTTCGCATTAAAGTGATGGGATGGCATAAGCAGGTCTCCGCGCCCCGCCTGGGTCCGCTGGTCTGATCATCTCTCTTCCGCAGGCCTCGTCTGGATGAGCCTATCCCGCCTTATGAGGCCAAAGTCTCCATGGAAGGGGTCCAGAAAAATCAAGGAAGAAAAAAGCAAGTTGTTCAGTTTTAATTTTGTTATCTCCCAGATCTCAGTTGAATGAACCCATTCCAGTATTTGAAGCCAGAGTTTCCTTGGAAATTGTTCAGAAAAGTCAAGGAAGATAAAAGCAAGTTGTTCCATTGTTAAGCATGCTTTCCTGCTATCTGAGACGAGATGGTGATTTATTTCAAATACCTGAAACGTATTTGAAAAGTTAATGTACAAACAGCCGAGACCAGTCTGTAATTAACACCTGAAGGGAATATTCTGGAAGTCGTCTCAGTGCCTGTGTTTATATAGCTGCCTCCGAGATAACCTTCTTTCCAGGAAGAACACGAGTTTCGGCAAAAGCCACGCTGCCTCCTGATAGGCCGTCAGCGCTGCCTGTCAGCGCGCCGGCCCCGCCCACACCGTCCTGGCGGCGGACCGAGGCGCGTCCTTCACCCTCTAGTCTAGAGTCTCCGCCGCCTCCGAGGACCCGGCCCTCAGGCCCCGGGCGCCCACGGCGCGGGGAGCCAGGGCGGGCTGGGCCCCGTCGGCCGGTCGGTCGGTCTGCGGGAGGGGCACCCAGGCCCTCTCGCCGACTGCGGTCCCCTCCGCCCCCCGCCTAGCGTTTCCTCCTCCCCGGGCGGCGGCCGGGCTCGTCACTCCCCGCCGTCCACAGGGAGGGCAGCCGGCGCCCGCTCCACCCGCGACCGGACGCGACCGCAGCAGCGCCAGGGGGCGCCCGGCACCACCAGGC